CAAAACTAATGGGAGGAGGAGACGAAGAGCACAAGACAGAGGAAACAGTTGGTTCTCAGATATAACAATAATTTCGAAAGGTTATCCCTTAAGAATGGTTTTCTATGATTCATCACAAAAAACGGAGGCAAATCGGGGCCCAGGCGGGTAGGTTTTGAGGGAAAACTTTTATCATTAGGAATCCAAAGATGAATATACGTATCTTTTTCATTCACCTCTTATCTTTTCTTCGATATTTACGTATTTCTTAATTTGAGGTAATTCATTTATCTATATATACATCTGTTTATTTATCTATTTTTATATTAATTTTCCTATTTATTTATTTATACATTTATTTCCATAAACTAGGCAGTTATCTGTCTATTCATCTACATGTCTGTATGTATCTGTCATCTATGTACCTATCTATCTATCTGTCTGCCTGTCAGTCTATATATCTATGTGCATCTGTCTGTATCTTTCTGTCTGTGTCTCTGTCTGTGTATCTGTATATCTGTCTATCCATTTATTTATCTATGTATGCCTTTATCTTTCTATCTGTCTGTCTGTCTATTTATCTGTCTTTGTTTCTGTCTATATGTCTGTCCATCTGTCTATCTATCTATCTATCCATTTATTTATCTATCTATCTATACTTCTATGTATGTTTGTATCTCTATATCTACTTCTTTGTTTCTATTTTTCTGTCTGTCTGTCTACCTACTGTATACATTGATCTATCTATCTATCTCTCCATTTATCAATTCATCTACCTATCTATAAGTGTACAGAGTTGTGTATTTGTGTGTGTGTGCATGTGTGTAGGTGCGTGTGCGAGTGTATAATATCAATCTACCGTATGCCTTTGGTTAATAATATAAACATATTGCGTTGCACAGATTTACATTCAACTGACTCATAATAACAAAATCTTACACGCCAGATACCAAGTTCTGCAAAGTGCAAGTGAATGTATATTTATGTGTGTTCATCTGTATGTTTGTAAGTTTGCTTTTTGAGAGAGAGAGAGAGAGAGAGAGAGAGAGAGAGAGAGAGAGAGAGAGAGAGAGAGAGAGAGAGAGAGAGAGAGAGAGAGAGAGAGAGAGAGAGAGAGAGAGAGAGAGAATGAACGAGAATTACTTCACTGTGGTTATCACGACTGCCTTCATAGCAGTAGACTCGGCTTCAGTTCCCGACGAAGACACACTTTTTTTTTCTCTCTCTTTGTTTTTGTGCAATTCCTTTCGTTCATTTACTATATATTATCGTTTTCAAGCATGCCTCCTATCACCATTTTTATTAGGATCGTAGGTATCTCACCAGCATCATCGTCGTCATCGTCTTTATATCATCATTATATTTCTTATATTCGTGGCCGCGGTAAGAATTTATCATTATTGCTCTATGCTGTCATTATCATCATTATCATTACTTTATAAACAACATTAAAGATTTTTTATCATCATTTTTATTATTGTTATCACCATAATCATCATCATCATCGTCATCAGTATAATCATTTTCCTTATCAATATCATTATCATTATTATTATTATAATTGTTATTGTTATTTCTGCTATCATCAGGATTATTGTCATTATTATCATTACTGTTATCATTACCATTCATATCATCATTATCATCATCATTATAACTATCATGAACTATCACTAACGTTTTCATAATTATTATTATCATCGTATTATTATGATAATTATTGCTGTTATTTGCATTATCAATTCAACTGTTCTTTATCATTATTATCATTGATGATAATTTTAACATTGTTATTCTAATTGTTTTGATCTTTATTATCATGGTCAGACATGATCAATTAATACAGACTCAAAAATAGGCAACTTTTGTGGCAATCTTTCGATATTTTCATGTTTTAGCTTCTGGCAATGCTGGAAAATGCTGTTGTACTTTGCAAGTGAGACATCCAAAGGCCAGAATTAAGCATAATCTTTCTCTCTTTCGTCTGTGATATATTTCCCCGCTTCAGATCCCTCGTAAATAATAATAACAATTATAATTATAATAATAATAACTGTTCTCTTGCCTTACACTGTCTTTCCCTTCCTTTCTTTTACTTCCTCAAATTGCACCAGGCATATTTATAATCTTATAAACCAGGAATATCGTTCATAGCTTTTATGCAAAAGAATGATTAACATAACATTTAAAATTTACTACGACTCAAATTACTGTCATTTCAATATAATTGATTTACAGCATCTTGTCCATAATGAACCGTAGCAGAGTGCACTGAGTTCTAAATAGTTTTGTTTCTAAAGGGAAGAAGAAGAAGACAGAGACAGACCAACAAAGAGGCAGAGAGAGAAAAGGAGATAGGGAAGAGAGTGAGGGGGAGGGATAAAGATTAATAGAATTAGATTTCTCTCTGATTTATGAAGTCCCTGTGGTGTAGTGGTTAACACGACTGACTCGAAGTTAGGAGAATAGGGTTCGATTCCCGACATTGGTGATTAATTTCATTGTTCCCGTTTTTTTCTTACATTCTTTGTTCTTTATGTAATTCGTTTTCTTATGTATGTGTATATCTATTAACATGTTTCTTATCAATGCTACAATTAGAATAGTAGTTATGATATCAGAAACGTTGATGTTATTTCCTCTCCTTAATATTATTAATTATGTTATTAATACTTATCCTATTGATATTCATCATTATTATAATCTATTTTTATTCCCATATATTTTTATTGGTTATTGTGATCATCCTTATGATTATTATTAAATATGATTGTGTTAACCTTATTTTTCTCCAGGATGACATCTTTGACCAGGGAAATAAACATTAAGTTACTAAAAACACTTGTGACATACCTTTTGGATTTCGTCATTTTACTGTTTGGCAAATCTGGAAACTGTTGCATTTTATAAATGAGACATCCAAACTACAGCAGTTTGCCTTGAGTTCAGAATATACATTTTGTAGTGATAATGCTATTCTATTACGTTACTATTCGTTCTTTGGCGAGAGAGAGAGAGAGAGAGAGAGAGAGAGAGAGAGAGAGAGAGAGAGAGAGAGAGAGAGAGAGAGAGAGAGAGAGAGAGAGAGAGAGAAGAGACAGACAGGTAGACAGACAGGCAAAGAAAGAAAAGGAGAGTGAAGACAGACATGCAGAGACAGACAGAGGAACAGACATAGAGAGGCTGACAGATAAAGAAATGTAGAGAGAGAAAAAGAGAAAGGGAGGGGGGGGGTATTTAGATAAAATTAACTTTCTTTCCTAATTGATCAAGTCCTTATGGTGCAGCGGTTGACACGACTGACTTTTAATCAGATCTCGGGTTCGATTTCCGAAAAGGATAACGACGATGGCGATTTTTCTTTCTTGTTTCTCTTGTACCTCGTTTTCTCATACCATTATTCTTTAACATACGTCTTATCAATACCATAATTAGAATAGCTAATATGATATCAAAATTGATGGTATTTCCTTTCCTACATACCGTTAATTTCATCTTCATCGTCATCACAACTATTATTAGTAGTAGTATCATTATTATCATACTTGTTTTTCTAATCTCATCAGCATTGTAATAACTATGATAAATTATTGTTTATCGTTATCCTTATTACTATTAAAGTCATTGTACCATTATCATGGTAATCAATTGTATGTCATCAATATCATCATTAATACTGCTATTCAAACTATTCTTAACATAATTATGTTTATTTTCTTACATCTTTCTCGTTTCTGTTGTGACATCATTATCATAATTACTGAATATGGTCGAGTTGACCTTATTTTCCTCCAGGATGACCTTACTTTTCTCCAGGAATAAGGATCTCAAAAATAGACTTGTGCGACATAGAACTTTTTGATTTTGTCTTGTATTTTGCCTTTTTGCAGAGCTGGAAACTGCTGTAGTCTATAAATGAGACATTCAAAGAATCAAGTATATTTTTTAAAGATTTCTTTCGTTGCACTAAGTCGCTCTGAAAGAAATATTTTTGTTTAAAGAGATTTTTCAAGTTCCTTATTTTCACCGATAATCAATAATTTTTTATAAAGGAAAAGATTTACTGACTTTACATTAAATTGACTGACGTCCAAATTATACGCATCAGTATTATTATGAATATCATCATTATTATACTATTTTTATTACTATTGTCATTATCTTTAGCATCATTACCATTATTATCATTATCATTATTATTAACATTATCATTATTATTAACATTATCATTAACATTGCTATTAGCATTATTTCATTACTATTACTATTATTACCATGATCATTATTACTCTTATTATCATGATCATTATTAATTATCAAGTTAATTATTCATACTCTTCAGTTTGGTAGGTTTATGACAAATAAGATATGGGAGTATATCACACCACAAGTCCTCCATATTAGAGAGAGAGAGACAGATTAGAGAGAGCGAGGGCGAGGGCGAGGGCGAGGGCGAGGGCGAGGGCGAGGGCGAGGGCGAGGGCGAGGGAGGGCGAGGGCGAGGGAGGCGAGGGCGAGGGCGAGGGCGAGGGCGAGGGCGAGGGAGGGCGAGGGCGAGGGCGAGAGGGCGAGGGCGAGGGCGAGGGCGAGGGCGAGGGCGAGGGCGAGGGCGAGGGCGAGGGCGGGCGAGGGCGGGCGAGGGCGAGGGCGAGGGCGAGGGCGAGGGCGAGGGCGAGGGGAGGCGAGGGCGAAGGGCGAGGGCGAGGGCGAGGGCGAGAGGGCGAGGGCGAGGGGACGAGAGGGCGAGGGCGAGGGCGAGGGCGAGGGCGAGGGCGAGGGCGAGGGCGAGGCGAGGGCGAGGGCGAGGGCGAGGGCGAGGGCGAGGGCGAGGGCGAGGGCGAGGGCGAGGGCGAGGGCGAGGGCGAGGGCGAGGGCGAGGGCGAGGGCGAGGGCGAGGGCGAGGGCGAGGGCGAGGGCGAGGGCGAGGGCGAGATAGACAGGCAGACAGAAAGAGAATAAGAGAAGGGGGAGGGAGGGGATAACTCTAGATGCAAACAGTTTTCTTTTATTGCTTTGTATAAATCTTTGTGGTGTAGTGGTTAACGTGACTGACTCCAAATCAGAAGATCTCGGGTTCGATCCCCGACAAGGACTAGAGAAAATACAATTTTAGGTCAATTTTAAATATCGTTTTGGTTCATAGTCTCATTCATAATCTGCCTTTATTATATAACGTAAAAACTTTTATGTGTAGCGGTTATCACGACTGCCTTTAAGCAAAATTCTGCTACGTTCTCTCTCTCAGTCGCTCTTTTCTTCTTTTTTTTCCTTCCACCCTCTTTCTCTCTCTCCTTTCTTTCTCAATCAATGAGTCGGTCTGTTCTTGCCTTCTTCGCTCTCTCTCTTTCTGCCTATCTTTCCCTCTTATATATTCATTCCTTTATTGTCTCATTTATACATCCACTCTTACTTTTATCCAGCCACCCTATTTATTCAAATTCATTAATTTACCCCCATTTTCTCTTTCTTGTAAATACATTCTCAATCATGTGCATTTCATGAAGAACAGAATTCTACATTTTCTGAAGAGCAAAATTTGTCGTAAATATGAACCGGATATGGCGGTTTCAGTCGACTAATATAAATATTAGATTCTATCTGATCCTTACGGACCTGAAACCCTTCCCTGGACCCCAAGGTAAGAGCCCCTGGTCTAGATGCTAGGATACCCAGCTCCCCCCCACCCCACCCCACCCTCAGGATTCATGTGATACCTCTTCTCTCTTCCTAAAATCTTGTGGGATTAACATTTTCTAATCATCTAAATGCAACACTGCCTCTGAACACTCACGTAACCGATATCACTGTGATAATACCGTGTTATTCATTCTTTCTCCGTCCTCCCTCCATCACCAGCCACTAGATCGCCCAGCATTTGAGCCTCGTCTGCACAGAGAACCACAGCGTTTGCTGCAGTGCACTCTGCCTCACTTCCTTTTCCATCTTCCTGGAGAACAGGAACAAGAACGGCGTCTGTGGCAATCGCTGGAACAACCCGTCATATTAAGCGAATGGCTGAGTGGTTTCTGGTGCAGTCGGAACAACGTTTCACTGTCCCCGAAGTGCACTCGTCTCGTACCAGATTAATGTAGACATTTGCAATCAATGAAATACAAAAGCGAGGATATATGCAAAATAATCTTGTATAATTCCTGCATTATATGTAGATCTCAGTTGCATCATACACTAAAGACATGAAAAAACGGTAAAAAATATATTTGGATAACTGACTCTATTTTAGGCTATATATTAGAGGCTTGTATCTCTATATAAACTGATGTGTGTAATTATCTAAACACGCTAATCCATATGATAATTAGAAACTAAATACGCACAAGAAAAAGTTTGAATTTAGAATAAACGCTGGTAATTCCGACCTTGGCGAAATAGCGTTAAGGATGTAATAGCTTAGTGAATAATAAGAATGATAATAATAATAATAATAATAATAATAAGAAGAAGAAGAAAAAAAAATGGACAATTATATTTGTATGTTATGGAGTGCAGGGCTTTAGAAGTGAATCAATAAATATGTTCCCTAAATGTTATCCCTCCATTTAATTCTCTGTGTCAGTTTCCACTTTTCTTATTTTCCTTCTCACTCTTTTTCATTTTCTCCATTTTACCTACAATACTGGGATGGAGTGCGCGTGTAGTCTCTTTCTTTCTTTCTTTCTTTCTTTCTTTCTTTCTTTCTTTCTTTCTTTCTTTCTTTCTTTCTTTCTTTCTTTCTTTCTTTCTCTCTCTCTCTCTATTTCTTTCTTTCTTTCTTTCTTTTTTTTCTTCTTTCTCTGGCTTCTGACCAATGGCTCCTTTAGTACAATTTTACAGCTTCATACTGTGACACTTAAGTTGCATGTCTCGGTCAAACATACAAAAGGCAGACAAATATATGAACAAGTTCCCCATTCATGTGGTGATGCAACAAATCCTTAATTTAAATACACTGTTGTTTTCCTTCCTTGTACACATCGTCGCAATGGGGGAATGGTTAACGCTGTGGTCTAGTAATCTAGAGACCCGCGTTCGAGACTGTTCCATGCCAAGTGTGGAATCACACGTAGGTCCATTTTTCGTTCGGACTTTTTAATTTATTGTTTAGATTCTATTCATTTCATCATTTGGTTTGTGCGGATATGTACATTGAAGAATACTCATCTTGAGAAGAGAAATATGAAATATAAATGTATCAATGCTACAGCACCGTTTATCGAACAAAAAATGTTATACAAAAAGAAAACAAAAAAACTAACAGTGGTTATTTAGTGATAGCATGGCGTTCCCACGCACACACACAATATATATATAAATATTATATATAAATATATATATATATATATATATATATATATATATATATATATATATATATAATATATATATATATATATATATAATTTTAAAGCGCAATCCCTTCCCTTTAACATCTAAAGGACCGGCGCTGCGTACAGTTATTGCTTTAGTTATATATATATATATATATATATATATATATATATATATATATATATATATATATATATATATATATATATAGAAGCGTTTTTTCTGTTCTCCTTCGCTCCTCAAAGTTTTAAAGATCACATAAAACCGTTATTAAATAAGTTCAGAGTCGGATCAGACTATTCTTACTACCCCCCTCAAATAATAATAATAATAATAATAATAATAATGACATTAATAATGATAATGATAATGATAACAACAACAACAGGCAACAACAACAACAACAGCAACAACAACAGCAGCAACAACAACAACAGCAACAACAACAACAACAGCAACAACAACAACAGCAACAAAACAACAACAACAACAAGAGCAACAACAACAACAGCAATAACAACAACAACAACAACAACAGCAACAACAACAGCAACAATAACAAACAACAACAACAACAACAACAGCAACAACAACAGCAGCAGTTTCTCGAGGCAGCCAAAGGCGTCCTAGAAAAAAGAATATTAGGACTTTCACTCTCCTCTCACATACACATATTAATTACATATATATGTATTTACACACATGTTGATTTGTATATATATGTGCATATATATGTACAATGTATATGATTATATATGAAAATGCGTATACACCATCTCTTTCTTTCGTTATCTTCTTTCAACAAAGCAATCGTTCTTTTTTATTATCTATATTATTCTCTCTCTCTCTCTTATTAACCAGTATTAACCAGGTGTAGAGATTACCACGTGCGCTTCACAGGCGGAAGGTCCTCGGTTTGATTCTGGGCGGAAATAATATATATGATTTTGAAGAATTTGACTATATATTTCTTTTTATAATAGCTGGAGATACAGCCAAAGCAATTACGTAATACTGCTGCATTTTTGCCCTTTGTATTAATTATTGCAACTCGATGAGTGGCCGAGATACCTGAACATATCATTACTGTTCCTTTACCTTTCTTTATTCGCTCCGCTACGCGAACACATGGCGAAAGCGACACTGATTGCAGGAATATAAAGTTAAGAGAGGGTGGAGATCTTAGATAATACTGTAGCCTTTTCCCTTTCACTCTGATTCCCAGAAGGATTTGCGATTCTCGGAGGCCGATGCACGCCAGAGGTCAGCCTCGGCGGGGACCTTTTCCGCTGATCTGAACACACGGAAAGGCGAGAGAGGTGGCTTATCATGGGAGACACTTCATAGTGTGGACAGTAGAGGAATGCTTTATATAGATGATTATTTCTTCGCTGTATTATTGGTCAAATATCATTCTCTTTCTGTTTAACTCCTCTCACTTTTACTCTCTCTCTCTCTCTCTCTCTCTCTCTCTCTCTCTCTCTCTCTCTCTCTCTCTCTCTCTCTCTCTCTCTCTCTCTCTCTCTCTCTCTCTCTCTCTCTCTCTCTCTCTCTCTCTCTCTCTCTCTCTCTCTCTCTCTCTCTCTCTCTCTCTCTCTCTCTCTCTCTCTCTCTCTCTCTCTCTCTCTCTCTCTCTCTCTCTCCTCTCTCTCTCTCTCTCTCTCTCTCTTTCCTGGCGGGGATTTTTTATACTGGCCGTTTGTCTCGGCTCGGGATCGAACCGAGGACCTTGCGCGTGTGAAGCGCACGTGATGACAAGTACACTGCGGGAAAATTATTATAATAAGCGTTGTGTTCAATGTTTTGATTTAAGCAATAGTTAATACGAGATAAAAAGAGAGATAGGGAGGTGGATGACAGAGAGCGAAAGTAAATGAAATAGAGAGATAGACGAGGAGAGAGAAAAAGAAAGTAGGAGAGAGAATGGTAGATGTGTAGAAATAGAGATAATATTGACAGGTGTTTCCGCTCGAGATCGAACCGAACATGACTGCTTATAATACCACCATGTTAAAAGGACGGATAAGAACTGTTTTCCTCTCTCTCTCTCTCTTCCCTCTCTTCCTCTCTCTTCCTCCATCCCCCCTCTGTTATTCCTCACGTGCAAAACCTTGTCTTAAGAGAGGAAATTATTCATTATTCAATTTTTTTTTTTCAAGGATAATTAATGAACACCGGAAGTCAGCGAGGAAATGAAACGCAAAAGGAGGGGAAATGATATCAAAAGCGATTCTCCTGCAGTGCATTGCAGTTCTTCCACCTTCAGCTTTCACAAAGGTGGAAGCAACAACGCTGACCGTTTTCCGTCGGCGCTTGCAGTGGTAATTTATGTACATTCACTATATCAGTTTTGCGAACTTAAACGGTATTAAATGACGTTCTGTCCTTGGCATGCAACACGTACATATTCATTAATCTATATGTAAATGTGTGTATATATATACATACATGTATATCACATAATATATATATATATATATATTATATATATATATATATATATATATATATATATATATATATATATATATATATATATATATATATATATATATATATATATATATATATATATATATATATATATATATATATATATATATATATTATATATATATATATATATATATATATAATATATATATATATATATATATATATATATATATATATATATATATATTATATATATATATATATATATATATATATATATAAATATATATATATATATATATATATATATAATATATAATATATATATATAT